TCTCACCCACACACGCCCACTCACCCAAGCCGTGCTCTGATACACACTCCTTGATGCCGTACGACCCAGCTGGGGCTGCGTGTTGGCGTCCCGACGGAAAGTCTGTGTATGCGTGTGTATGTATGTATGCATGTAAGCGCAGGGGGGAAGCGGAGGGCGGCCGGGCGTCGTCGTCAGGCGGTAGGGCCGGGGCGGGGGTAGTCAGGTGGCGAGGGGGCAATCGTGCGGGCAGGGGGGGGGGCTCAGCCCGCCCTAAGCAGCGACCAGCAACCGGCAGCAACCACTGCGACAACAAAACTACCACAAAGTGCGCTGCAACGCTGTATGGCCGAGCGGGGCAGAGCCGGGGGGGGGCGGGTAGAATTCGCGCCACGGGGGTGCTGGCGCAGGCGAGGGAGGGGAGGAGGGTCTATCCGGGGGGAAGCTCTCACCGGGTTGCGCAAAAAGTTACGGCCCTGCATGGTGAGGTACAGGCGGCCCGGCTCCAGGGGGGGGCCCAGACTGGAGACACACTCCACCTCGGCCTGGACGGCATGCACACAGGTGAACAAGGTGAGGCCAGAAACGGACATGTAAACAGGCCTACAGACAGACAGACAGACAGTCCGGGGCTATATTTAGCATCATTTACGATACACATCCATCACGTAAAGCACACGGGGGGAAATGTGTTTGCAGCATGCCGGGGTGGGCCGGGGAGGGCCGGGGAGGGGCGGGCGCAGGGCCGGGGAGGGGTGGGCGGGCGCAGGGGGGGAGTGGGACTGGGACTCCATGAAGGCCTATGGTGACCGTCGCCATCACTATCACCATGATGCTATATAGGCAACATCCGTCAACAGTGCTCTACAGCGTTTTGTTCGGACCCCGGGGGCCATAGTGATAATGGGGATGGGGTTTTAGGGTGAAGTGAGGGGAAAGTGTTTCAGGGGCACCTACCATCAACTTCGGCGACAGCCGGTGGCGCCAAAGGCCCCTTGAGGATGCAGCGACGCGCCAGGCCTTGCATACCGCAGGCACAACGCCAACTAGTGTATCTATATCACAGCGCAAAAAGATTTGCTCCAGGATGTCCGAGGTCAGCTCTATCGATGAAGTGGTTTCATGGCAAGTGTTGGTTATCGCAGGCAAGCCATGGCCAACATGGGCTTTTTGCCCTGTCGCGGCCTGCTTTGCTCGACCGTTTGTTGTGGATTGTACTGTAGGCGATGTTGGCGCTGTCAAAGTGAAGAGGTCAAAGAAGTGCCTGACGAAGTCGGTAGTGGTGGAAAACGACATCTGTCGACCTGTTACGGTACCGTATGCCCACTTCGTCTGCCGGAGTTACAATTATTATTTGAACGCTGCGTACCAGAATGCCAGTCAAATGAGGGATTCTTATCACAAAGGCAGGCGCCTCGGGACACGGATGCCCCAAGCAGCTCCGAGTAGGAGGGACTTCGGAGCTGGACAGGTTGCGTTGGAAGGGACAACAGTGCTCAACTTCCGCCGACTTTGGGTTTCATTATTACATAATCAAGCATGCGCATTTGAATAATGCTGCCCTAAGATATGGCTATCAGTCTATCCAAGCTGTTTTGGTTCGTTTTAGCCATTGCATTACAGGTTGTCAAGTCCAAGGATTTACCACAAGGAAATATAGATATATCCGTTGAAAATGCATCGATGCAAGGAGGGTACTACTATTTCAACGAGGCGAGGAAACTTGCTTGCATTGACCGTTTGGTTTGCATGCTGTCTGACCAAACCTGATTTGCACAACAAACCCAAATATAAACAGGTAACAGGCGCGATACAGTATGAAGACCCTGGGAACGCTCCGTACGAGGACGAAGCTGGAAACCTGTACTGGCTCTCCGTCGATGGGAAACGCGTGAAGGAGGCGCCAGACCGCCTCACGTGGGCATGGATTGAGGTTGGTCGGGGAGGGGCCTCGAGGAGCGGGACTCCGGTTCGCCGCACTGCCCTGGCACACTTTCCCCCGTTGCCGCCACACACACAACCACACACACACATACATACACACACATACATACACACACATACATACACACACACACACCACAACTATCATCCACAGCGCTGCAGAACCTCCCATAGAGATGTGGAGGCTTCCCGGCCCCCCCCCGGTATGGGCGACCTCAGTTCGCGAGAGGCACTTCTGAAGGAATCCCTGGAGGTACCCCTTGGGCCCCCGCTGTGCTGTACCTGTCGGGGGTGGGGTTGGGGTTGGGGGTCGGCAAGGGGGGTGCTCATGAGCGGCCCCTAGCCCTAGGTGCACCGTATGCAGCGGCGGCGACCTCCTCTGCCCCCCCTCCCTCCCTACATATCCTTCACCGGCCCCCTGCTCACACCCCTCCACCCCCAAATCCCCATCCGCCTTTCCCTCCCCACGCGCTGCGAGGGGCGTGTGTGTAAACGGCGCCACTGGAGCTCAATATCCCCTCCCTCCCCTCCCTCCCTGCCCAGTCCTGGTCAGTGGATCAGCAGCGGCACTTCTTCTTCAACCAGGCGACCAAGGAGGCGCAGTGGGATAGACCGCCCGATCTGGCCTGGCGCAGATTGCCCATGACGGCTCCCGAGGAGGAACCGGGGGGGCAGTGATGGCCCCTGTTTGGAGGGGCCCCTGTGTGGAGGGGCCCCTGTGTGGAGGGGCCCCTGTGTGGAGGGGCCCCTGTGTGGAGGGGCCCCTGTGTGGAGGGGCCCCTGTGTGGAGGGGCCCCTGTGTGGAGGGGACCCTGTGTGGAGGGGACCCTGTGTGGAGGGGACCCTGTGTGGAGGGGACCCTGTTTGGAGGGGACCCTGTTTGGAGGGGACCCTGTTTGGAGGGGCCCCTGTGTGGAGGGGCCCCTGTGTGGAGGGGCCCCTGTGTGGAGGGGCCCCTGTGTGGAGGGGCCCCTGTGTGGAGGGGCCCCTGTGTGGAGGGGCCCCTGTGTGGAGGGGCCCCTGTTTGGAGGGGCCCCTGTTTGGAGGGGCCCCTGTTTGGAGGGGCCCCTGTTTGGAGGGGCCCCTGTTTGTAGGGGCCCCTGTGTGGAGGGGCCCCTGTGTGGAGGGGCCCCTGTGTGGAGGGGCCCCTGTTTGTAGGGGCCCCTGTGTGGAGGGGCCCCTGTGTGGAGGGGCCCCTGTTTGGAGGGGCCCCTGTGTGGAGGGGCCCCTGTGTGGAGGGGCCCCTGTTTGGAGGGGCCCCTGTTTGGAGGGGCCCCTGTTTGGAGGGGCCCCTGTGTGGAGGGGCCCCTGTTTGGAGGGGCCCCTGTTTGGAGGGGCCCCTGTGTGGAGGGGCCCCTGTGTGGAGGGGCCCCTGTGTGGAGGGGCCCCTGTGTGGAGGGGCCCCTGTGTGGAGGGGCCCATGTTTGTAGGGGACCCTGTTTGTAGGGGCCCCTGTGTGGAGGGGCCCCTGTTTGGAGGGGCCCCTGTTTGGAGGGGCCCCTGTTTGGAGGGGCCCCTGTTTGGAGGGGCCCCTGTGTGGAGGGGCCCCTGTGTGGAGGGGCCCCTGTTTGGAGGGGCCCCTGTTTGGAGGGGCCCCTGTGTGGAGGGGCCCCTGTTTGGAGGGGCCCCTGTTTGGAGGGGCCCCTGTGTGGAGGGGCCCCTGTGTGGAGGGGCCCCTGTGTGGAGGGGCCCCTGTGTGGAGGGGCCCCTGTTTGGAGGGGCCCCTGTGTGGAGGGGCCCCTGTGTGGAGGGGCCCCTGTGTGGAGGGGCCCCTGTGTGGAGGGGCCCCTGTGTGGAGGGGCCCATGTTTGTAGGGGACCCTGTTTGTAGGGGCCCCTGTGTGGAGGGGCCCCTGTTTGGAGGGGCCCCTGTTTGGAGGGGCCCCTGTGTGGAGGGGCCCCTGTTTGGAGGGGCCCCTGTGTGGAGGGGCCCCTGTGTGGAGGGGCCCTTGTTTGGAGGGGCCCCTGTTTGGAGGGGCCCCTGTGTGGAGGGGCCCCTGTGTGGAGGGGCCCCTGTGTGGAGGGGCCCCTGTGTGGAGGGGCCCCTGTGTGGAGGGGCCCCTGTGTGGAGGGGCCCCTGTGTGGAGGGGCCCCTGTGTGGAGGGGCCCCTGTGTGGAGGGGCCCCTGTTTGGAGGGAACCGGGGGGGCAGTGAGGGCCCCTGTGTGGAGGGGCCCCCAGGCGCCATGTGGGGAATGGAATCAAGTCGGTGCCGGCGACCTGCTGGGGCTGTCGTTCGGCGCACTAGGCGGGCAGCGATTCACGCCGCACACGGCTTCACACACATGCAGTCGTCCGGCCGTCGTGATGACTAGGCAGTGCGGGATAACGGAGCGCTTAAAGCGGGACGGTTCGACCGCATCTTTAGGACAAATAGACAGACAGACATACAGACAGACGGACAGGTAGACCAGGCAACCAGGCAGGTAGACAGGCAGGCAGTTCGTAAAAATGCAGCTGCGTGATGGTAGACCTGTTGCATGTGTATGTGCTCATATGTGATCCGCGTTGCTTGCCCGTTTCGGGACGCTGATGACGATGCTCTGAGCGTTACATTACCAGGTCGGCGAGGTCGGCAGCATCGTGTGCTCACCAGGCTGGGCCGAACCAGGATGGGCCGCAACCCTGTGTGGAGGGGCCCCTCAACCCGCCTGTTAGCCCCCAAACAAGTTCGAAGGTGTTCTGTAGGGCTTCCGGATTGCCTAAAGCCCCAATCTCAAACCACTGCTTGTTGTCCTGTGTCCAGAGTGCGAGAAGAGGGGATTGGGGGGAGGCACGGGGGGGGATTTGCGATGAGAGTGAGGTAGATGGGGAGAGCGAAGGAGGAGAGGGCCAGGCAGGGAGAGGGGGGGGAGGAGGTGCACCGGGGGATTGATTGCTGTGTAGTGTAGCGTAGCGTAGGGGCATTCTGCCGCTGACTCACGGCATCCTCCAGCCCCCGGTGGGGGCTCATCGTAACCCGCGTGACGCGACTTGACATGGCTATGGTGGCCTAACGACCTGATGTGGGCTTTGCTTCCGTGCTGTGGGGGTGTGGACGTTGCTGCTGCAGCGCCCTAAGCATCGCGACCAGTTATGCCAGCCGGGGGAGGACGTATGACCACCCGCAGCAGTTCCGCCCTGAGGAGGGGAGGTGCTTGATGACAGCAGAGGGGTAGCCGCTCCTCAGCGGCGTTGCACCCACGGGCTGCCACCTCACCAGGGCTTGCACCGCATCACAGGACATCACATCACCCACCCAGCCCACCCCATAGCGGGTGTATGAGACATGTCATGTCATGTGACATCGTTCCCCCCTTGTACGCGGAAAGGCCCCACCATATCATACGCCCCACCACCAGCCTGCGCCAACCCTGGAGCCGGATCCAGCTGATGTTGGGGCCATCAGGTAAAAACCTGGCTCAACTTTCAGATTTGAAGGACAGACAGACAGACAGAGTGACTGACAAATAGACTAAGCACGGTTATGACGCAGCAGGTGTCGCTCTCAGCGTGCCGTCTTGGAGGCGCCCCGTGTGACGGAGGACACGACACGACTGGACATGCAGCATCGCTGTAGCTAACTTCCCCCTCTGTGTGACTACGACCGCGGCACAGAGAGGAGTGACTCTGGCTGCAGGGTGCAGTCCGATAGGTGGAGGTCGCAGGGTCTTAGGGTCTTATGCAGCCATACATACATACATCGATACCCGTTAGGGTCAAAAATCCTTCCGATTGTGGAAGGTATTGCGCCCCTAGTTGATGGACAGTGGTGACCTGGGATAAAGTTAACCTGCGAGCCGACCAGGAATGGAGTTGGGCCGCTGTCGACCCGGCAGATTCCGTTGGATGCTGGTGGTGGGTGCGGAACCTGAGAGATCCACTGAGAAGTTGACTAGGGTGACTGGATGAGGGTGCCCCGGGGAAGGCAGGGTTTCGCAGGGTAGCTGCCACGGGCGAAGATACACCCCCCTGTTTCACACATCATACAGTGTTTAAGCCATTATGCCGACATGACCACCAAAACCACTGCTACTGTCGATAGTGATCTGTTCGGATCCCCTCCGGTTGTAAATCGTCAAAGTCGTTCATATCAGCATCCCCGCCATCGTCATGGCCGCTGCGAAGTGCGCAGGCCGACCAACATTCAGAGACTGCGAGCGTTACCTCCTTCCCCGCCTGCCCCTGCGCCTTCCAGTGGGGGAAGGGTGAAGGTGAAGTGACCGCGGGTTTACAGCCCATGCCGCCGTTTAGGCGTCCAGGGATGGGCACGATCGCAGCTACTTGCAGCATGGCATATGACCATCGAGGATATGTGTCTGGGGAGGGCCGCTTGGTGCTTTTAGTGGACGGCGACAACACACCTCGCCACCTTCTCGGCCTTTCCGGCGGTGCCCGACCGCCACTAGAACCCCAAATTGCGGGACGAGGGCTTGGCGTGACTCTCCGCTTGTGACAGCAGTGCCTTTGTATTGCGAACACACAGATACTGTGTTTGGGATCCTGCCATTCGCCTTTTGCATAGATTTTGCTCGTCCAGCTGAAAAAATGCTCTATTCTTTATGAAGGGACGGACAGCGTTTACATTACAATGTACGGACACCAACAGGATATTCCAACAGGACACGTGAATTAGTTACCTGTTAAAACAGCATCTGCGACATTATGGTCGCTTGAATAGCGTTTCAACGCACTCGACGCAGCTAGACGTTCGTTAGCCCGTACGGTCGTAGAACTGGAGTCAGGGCTGCAAACCTGGTAAACGCCGTAAACCGGCTTGAACCCTAAAAGCTTAGCCACCTTAATTTTTTATCTGAAAAGTTCGCCGTGCAGCTGACCGGGAAACCTCGATACGGCAGCTTCTGGATAGGTGTAGGCTGCGCCGCTGGCATATAAACCCAAGGCCAATTAAGCTTATAATAAATGTACCTATATGGGTTAATGTGTCATTGATTGCTAATCAACCACGTTCCGCACTACTGCCCGCACTCACCGCTCGTCCTTTGCAACATGGCATTACTGTTGTGTCAAACAATATGAATAAAAATATAGAACCTCAGACCCTACTTATCATACTTGCACGTAAAGTGGCTCTTCGCGACATTGTCAGCCAGTTGCATCGTACTCATACCTCCCGGTGCAGGCATGCCACCTCATGCAAAACCACATGCAAGAATCTGTAAAAATTACCGGCTTGTTGCAAATGCACTTGTCCTTCTAGTTATGGATCTCTACAGTCACTTCTCGCAGTACATTAGACTCGTTTGAGGCGCATCATGCTCCGGAGTTTAGCCGACCTTGAAAATGTCCGCTGACTACAGCTACGATGAGTTCATTGCGCAGGTGAGGTGTTAGAGTGAGGGGGAGGCTGGGATACCTTCTGGGGTCGCCATGCCCGGCGTTGCCTTAAACTTACCTTCATCGTCATTCTTCACATCCTTTCTGCTTATCTCCAAAAGTACTTCCACTTGCTCATTCCGCAGCTTGAACGCAAGCACCAGCAGGAAGCGCCAGGACACAACAGCTATTTCGAAGTCTTCACTGAAGCCTCCCGACTAATAGGGCAGCTGAAGAAGGGCCTCAATGTCTCTATTCACCGCGAGCGACAGAGCGAGGTGCGCGTGGCGGCTCAGAGCTGGCAGGACTCGAGTTACAACGAGCGGGCAGGTGGGGCCGCGGCACCGTCCACCGGGTTTTCGGTTTTATGCAACCCCTTGCCTGCAGGGAAACCCTGCGCACCCTCCTCCCCATAGACAACTTCCTTGCCATGCAAAACGACCCACAACAGCCACTTACTCCACCTCCCCTGTCCAGAAACGAAAGGTGGACACCCTTAGCCTTCTTTGCCCTAAGCCGGATGTAAGGGGCCAACTCACCAGCCCCGCCGGGCCTAAAAGCGCATAGCCCACTCACCCACGCACCCCATCACCACAACACCGCCATTACTCCCCACCCCACCCCACGCCTGAACCCTCTCTCTCTCTCTCTCTCTCTCTCTCTCTCTCTCTCCCCAGTGGGGCCACGTGATGGGGGCCGTAGCTTGCTGACGGGGGCCGCGGCCGCCATGTAACGTTCGGTTAAACTAACTGTTGGATGCACCTGTGTGGCTGCATACATACATACATGCATACATACATGCATGCATGCATGCTGTGTATGCATACATATGCATACATATGCATACACAGCAAGTGCTGCATGGGGGTGGATAGTGATAGTGATGAATATGGTGTTTTTAGTGTTGATAGGGTTCGCACTGCGAAGGGTGGTTTAGGGGCGTCGCAAACCGCTTAACCAGCACACTGTTCACTTAGCTCAACCAACTTCCAAGCTATATTTGTTATGTACCCCAATGGCAATGATGGCCACACACGCGCTGACTCCGGACATACATACATACATACACAGATAATGCAGGAGTGGATATTCTAGACTGGCAGCCTCGGTTCGCGCACTTGAGCCACGCGGATGGTGGCGGTGGCAGTAGCGGCAGCGGCACCGCTGGTGCAGCTACTGCCGCCAGTAGCAAACGGCCCTCCAAGAGCGCGATTGCGGGGTCCCCCACACACCAGCAAACCGGCGGCGGCGGCGGCGGCAGCGGCAGCCTCCACCAGCGCCGCAGCAACACTTCACCTCCCGTCCGCCGCCCCGGCGGCCACGCCGCTACCACCGCCGCCGCCACGACCGCCAGCGGCGAGCTGCCGTCGCCAGCCGGCCCAGCGGCTGCAGCACAGCTGACGGCGGCGGACAGAGCAGCAAATGATCCCATGGTGCCGCCGCTCAGGTCCCCGCAACGGTACAGCGCCGGTGTGGGTACGGCAGCGGATGCCACGACGGCGCCGCGCTATGGCCGTCATGTTTCCGCGGGCCGCGCTTCCCCGGGCCCGCGACGTGCCACCGACAGCGCCGCACTGGAGGCGCGGGGCCCCGGGCCGGCACCCCCCGGCGTCAAGGACGTCAGGGCCCCCGGGGCGGGGCCGTCCCCCCGGAGAGGCGAGGGGGGGCGGAGGCAGCGCCCGCAGCTGCAAGTGCAGCTGCAAGTGCCGGAGCGGGAGGAGGGCCAGCTGCAGCTGCAGCAGCAGCAGCAGCGGGAGGACGCGGAGGAGGATCCGGAGGATTTGGTTGGTACTGGGGGCCGAGGAGAGGAGGGTAACGAGGAGGATAAGCTGTTGGGGACACGGCAGAGGTCCTTACCGGACATTGCCGTACAGCCCCAGCTGCCGCGACTGCCCCCCCTGGACGAGTCCCCCGGGCCCCCCGTGTTGCTCAGCCCCACTGCATTACTCGAGGGCGCGTCAAGGGCAGGTCAGGGGGGGGGAAGGGTTGGGGACGGGAGGGGGAAGGGAAAGGGCGGGGGGGTTGTACGGGTCTCTGTACGACAGTCGGGGGCTGGGCGGCTACTGCGTCCACGAGGGGACCGCAGGGGCGCTACCGCGGGTACTGCTCCCTGGTACGTCACTTGCGAACCCGAACACCCCCAACACCCCCCTACTGTTGCAAACATCAGTATCGACCCTCCACGTCCCTCCCCCCTCTCCTCCTCCCCGCGCTCCCCCACCGCCGCAGATGAGGCCATCCGTGTGTTTGCCCGCACCGCCTACGAACCCGGGGAGCGCCGCCACACGTTGATGCTTTCCCTTGGGGGATGGGGGGCGGGTTTGGGCGGTACGGCGGGCGAGGGGGGGGACTCCCGGGGGCTTCTGGAGCCGCTGCCCCTGGCGCCCGTACCTCGGGCTGTGCCCCGGAGGGTGACCGAGGCGCTCTCGTCCTTGGCGCTACCCCTGGGGCTCAGGGGGTCTGTGGGGCTGAGTACGGAGGTGGGTTGCAGGTCGGGGGTCGGGAGGGACGGGGGTGTGGTGAGTTGCGGATTGCGGGAGAGATCTCCCTCTCCCCCCCCCGTGCGGTTGCGACTTGGTCAGTGCGCTTGGCAGTTTGCGCCCCGCATCACCACCGCCGGGGGGGGAGGGGGCAAAGAAGATACATGTGCGTGTGGGCCGGGGAAAGGCGCCTGTGCGTGTATGTATGTACGTATGTGCGTCTTGAAGGCGGCACCGCTCTAGGGGGGAATCCCCCTGGCAGGGCACTTGGCTGCGGCGCAGCCGCACTCGCAGCCTCATACCACCCGTCCCCGCACACGCACACTCCAGGGACTGCGAGTACGACCCTCCGGGGGAAGCTTCACGGCGGCGGGCGGGATCACCGGCGGCGGCGGCGACGCGCCAATCTCGCCGCTGCCGCTGCCCCTCCGGTCGCCGAGGCGCATCAGCTTGGGAGGTCCGTGGGACCCCGAGTCGTCGAGCTCCGGGCTGTCGTCACCGTCACGCGCCCGTGCTGCAGCGGCAGCAGCGGGCGGCGGCACAACAGCATATGCTCGGCCTAGCGGCGGCAGCGGCAGCAGCCTCTCCGCAGGCGTCGGCGGTGGCGGTGGCGGCGGCGCCGGGGCTGGGACCGTCACTTCTCCTGGATCACAGCTGCCCGCGGCTGGGATCCGCACCGCGAGGGAGTCGTACGCGGGGGCGGGTTTAGGTGGTGGGGGAGGGGGAGGGGGAGCTGCAGGCAGGATTTCTATCGTCGGCGGAGGCAGCATCAGCGGCGAGGCGGCCGCCGCGTCCGGGGCCCCCGGGGGCCTTATCCGTGGCTATGTGGGCGGCGGCGCCCTGGACCACCGAGTGCTAGATGCCGTACCGCGGCTTGGACTGGACGCACCCAGACTCCGGTCGGGGTCTATCGCCGTTACCGCCACCGCCACTACTGCCGCTACTGCTGATACGAGCTCTGGTAGCTCGGGAGCGCTGAGACCTTCACGACCAGGTACAGCACAGCCATGTGCCGCCGCCGCAGCAGCAGCTGGCGGAGGTGGGGCCGGGGCCGGGGGCGGGGGCGATAGCGGACCTGCGGCCACCGGCGTCAGGTTCGCACGCAGCCGTCGTGCCAGCTGTACCGGCGTCCCGGCCGCCGGCGCTAGCGGAGGCAGCATCAGCCTGGGCCCTATGCTGGTGACCCGCGAGCAAGTGGACAGCTACGTAGTGGCGCAGATGGGGCCGCAGACTCGTGCGGCGGCAGGGCAGCAGGGGCAGGGGCAGGGGAATAAGCGAGCCTCCATCGCCAGCGGCCGGCCGGGGCACAACGTGATTGGTACACGGGGCTGTCTGACAGACGACCCGGAGCCTCGAGGGGTCCAGAGAGCCCTGCGGCGGGAAGTGGGTGGGATATCGGATGCCTCGGGCGCGGGTGCTGGAAAGCCGTCATGAAGCCGTCGGGACGCACGGCCATGAAGAGGGGCTTGGGAGTTGTTGCCGCTTGGTG